AAGCCATGGCCAGCGCCAAACTTCAAGCTATCGAACAAGCTATTTACGAAGAAGAAGAGCTTTTGTTGCTCGCAGAGCAGAAAGACGTAGAAGAGAAAGAGTCTCGTACAAGGGAATGGGTGACAACTCAGGACGAACCAGCACAAACTTCCGAAATACCGAACGATAGCGACGTCCTGGCAACAGTTAACAATCAAAACATCGTTGAAAATGACACGGAGGCAAAACATGAGGCGAGCCAAAGTCAGAATCAAGGAGAGATCGAAAATGCCCATACGCGAACGGGAGAGACGTCCTATGCTCCCAAGGGATTCGCGGGAAATCCACCGATCTTTAGACCCATGGAGTCCAATCAAGAAACACAGGGTCTAGAACAATGCATTGGTGGAATAACCAAGACGAACGAACAAATCATAACGACTTTAGCAAGACAAAGTCTACCGAAGTGCCATCCGGACATATTTGGAGGGGATGCAACGCTATTCCATCCTTGGAAAAATTCCTTTAAAGTAATGATCCAAGATGCAAAGCTTAATCCATCGCAAGAAATGACGTACTTACGTAATTATACTAAAGGAAAAGTGCAAGACCTGGTGGACAACTATAGAAAGAGACAGCAAAACGATCCTTCGGATACTGTTCGAGAACTGTGGACAGAGATGGAAAGAAGATTCGGAAATACGGCCGTTATCACAAACTCTCTTTTAGAGAGACTACGAGGCGCAGCGAAATTTAACGGACGAGACAAATCCAAGCTACAACAATTCGCGGACATTTGTATGGACGTAGATAACCAGATGACAAACCTACCAGGACTCGCTTGTCTCAACTACCCAACAGCAATTCGACCAATAGTCGACAATCTGCCAGGATTCCTCAAGTTCAAGTGGGAGAAGAAGGTTGTTAGCTTCGCAGAAGAAAACAACGATGCTTATCCAGGATTCCGTAAGTTTGCGACGATGATCCAAAAACAAGCTAAGCTAAAAAATCATCCAAATGTCTGTGCAGGCGAGACGGTTCACGACCGCCCCTTTGTGAAGAGTGACAAGAGACACGACGGAGAGTTCGGAAACAAGTACAAGACCCTGAGGACCGAAGCGAAAGGTGAGGAAGGCCACCCAAGAAACGAACGCGAGAAACACTGTATCTTCCACGATCGAAATGGACATGAGTTGACTGAGTGTAAAGCGTTCGACATAAAGAGCTTGGACGATAAAATGGAATGGCTAAAGTTAGCTGGTCTCTGCTACCGATGTCTAGCTGGAAAACACCGTGCCAAAGAATGCAAGAAAGGAGTTAAATGTGCTAAGTGTGGCAGTACCAGACATCCCACGACACTGCATAAAGAAAAAGAGAAAGAAAAAGAAAAACCACCCGAGAAAGATCAAGGCGAGGAGTGCAAATCGAAGTGCACATCTATATGCGAAGGGAACACAGGAGGACGGTCGTGTAGCAAGATCGTGCTTGTTGACGTCCATACAGAAGACAACACGCAAAATGTCCGTAGAGTCTACGCAATTGTCGACGAGCAGAGCAACGCATCACTAGTTACGCCTAATCTTGCCGATCTATTGGAGATAGATACTCCAAAGGAGAAATACCAACTCTCAACCTGTAGTGGTAACAGAGAGACAAGATATGGTCGCAGAATATCTGGAGCCGTTGTCAGGTCGCTAGATGGAAGAGTTTGCAAGCTACCCAAATTAATAGAATGTGATAACATACCTCAAGATAAGAGCGAAATACCGACGCCCTCGATGACCAAGCACTTCCCCCACCTCCAAGAGATATCCAACGAAATTCCACCTTTCGATAATAATGCAGGAATTGAACTACTCATTGGTAGAGATGCGCCAGAATTACTAAAAGTACGAGCTTTCCGAAACGGCCCGAAGGGAGCGCCATGGGCACAAAAGCTGCTTCTCGGCTGGACAGTCTCGGGTGAAATGTGCCTCGATCGTATCGGAGGTCCAGTCCACGTGTCTGCACGCCAGACGACAGCTCAAATCGAAGGTATAAAATCTCAAGGTATGATCAATCGCTATGATGAGAACTCTAATACCCCAGATGTAAGCGAGACAGCAAAGGAAATCATTCCCTGCCCTAACTACTTCTGGGTGAAAGAAGCTGAGGATCCAATCGAGAGAGTCAAGAACGATGACTTATACCGCATCACCACGCTGGACGACGAGATCGCCCTGTCTCAAGAAGATCGGCGTTTCCTAGAAATCATGAACAAAAACACCCACAAGAACAGTTCAGGCAATTGGGAAATGCCCCTCCCCTTCCGTGAGCAAAATGTGGCCATGCCCAACAACAAGACACAAGCGCTCAATCGTCTCAACGGTCTATTACGAAGTTTCAAAAAGAACCCACGGAAACAACGAGACTACCTCGAGTTCATGTCGAAGGTTTTCCAACGCGGACACGCTGAAGCGGTACCCGCTAACGATTCTTCACAAGTCGAGAAGGACTCTCGTGTAGCAAATGCAACATCTACAAGCCCCACCACCGGTCGAGTATGGTATCTACCCCACTTCGGCATATATCATCCAAAGAAACCCGACCAAATTCGGGTCGTATTTGACTCCTCTTGCGAGTATCAGGGGGCATCGCTCAACAAGAAACTACTGGGAGGCCCGGATCTCATGAATAACCTACTCGGTGTTCTGATGAGACTTCGTCAAGAGAACTACGGAGTGATGTGTGATATCGAACAAATGTTCTATTCCTTTCACGTTAATCAAGAACACAGAGACTTCCTTAGATTTCTTTGGTATAAGAACAATGATCCCGAGCAAGATATAACCGAATACAGAATGACCGTGCACCTCTTTGGAAATGGGCCAAGTCCAGCGGTAGCGACCTACGGAATGAGAAAGACGGCTAAAGAGGGCGAGAAGACATACGGAAAGAAAGTAAAAGAGTTCGTCGATAGAAATTTTTACGTCGACGATGGGCTCGCATCCTTGCCAAGCGAAAGCGAAGCGATAGACTTGATCCATAAAACGCAAGAGTGTTTAAAGACCGCCAACCTACACCTACACAAAGTTGCGTCTAACTCGGCAACAGTCATGGAAGCCTTTCCACCAGTCGACGGAGCAAAAGGTCTACAAGATCTCGATCTGCGTCATGACCATCTTCCGATTCAACGTGCATTGGGCGTTCAGTGGAACTTAGAAGAAGACAAAATAACGTTTAAAGTATCTATTCCAGACAAACCATTCACACGCCGCGGAGTCTTGTCCGTCGTTAACTCTCTATATGACCCATTGGGACTAGCAGCACCAGTCGTTATCGTTGGCAAAGTCAGGAAGTCAGTGGAGGTATGTGGACACTTCCTTAAACCCAGCAGACCTTGCATCGCGTGGGACAACTGCGAAAGCACTGACAGATTCAGATTGGTTGAAGGGACCTCTCTTCCTAGAGACCCAACTGAACATACAAACTCCGGAAGTCGAAGAGAGTTCTATTGATCAAAATGACCCCGAAGTCCGACGAGAAATCAATGTTCACCTTGCGAATGTAAACGACAAGATCGGACTCGGTACGAAGCGATTCGAACGCTTCTCTAGTTGGACTAAAGTTCAGCGCGCGATTGCCTACCTTGTGTCAAAACTCTCACTGCAGAAGAAAAACCGAAACACGAGAGAAGAAACTGAACCGACAATCAAACACCAACTCCCATCACAAGAATCTATAAAACGGGCCACATCAGCCATCGTCAAAGCGGTACAAAGAGAAGCCTTCCCAGACGAAGTCAACCTACTTGCAAAGTGCAACGGTGAACTAGAAAGTCGACATCACTTGAGAGAAAGACGGAAAGTATTACGTAAATCCGATATCGTGCGTTTAGACCCCTTTATGGACGAAGATGGAGTGGTGCGAGTAGGCGGTCGCCTGAATCGATCCGATCTGACGTTCGAAGAAAAACACCCGATCCTTTTACCAAAGAAACACCATATATCTACACTTATAATCAGGCACTGCCACGAAAAGATCCATCATCAAGGACGCTTGATCACCCATGGAGCAGTTCGCCAAACCGGGTTCTGGATTGTCAACGGACACGGAGCAGTTTTTCAAGTAGTGAACGCCTGCGTGACATGTAAGAAACTCAGGGGGAGAGCTCTCACACAACAAATGGCAGACCTGCCGAGAGACCGAGTGGAAACGTCAGCGCCATTCACCTTCGTCGGGATAGACGTTTTCGGCCCATGGTATATAAAGATAAGGAAGCTAAGAGGCGGTGCTGCGAATGCAAAACGATGGGGCTTGGTGTTCACGTGCCTCAATAGTCGAGGAATACATATTGAAGTGTTGCAATCTATGGACGCCAGCTCCTTTATATGTGCATTGCGTCGCTTCTTCGCCCTCCGTGGCTCCGTCGCTGTCATCAGGTGTGACTGTGGCACGAACTTCGTTGGGGCGAAATCAGAGTTTGAGAAAGCAATCACGGAGATGGATAAAGAGAGAATTGAGAAATACGTTAACGGACAGGGATGCGAATGGAAGTTCAACCCACCCCATGCTTCTCACTTTGGTGGCGTGTGGGAACGCCAAATAGGAACAATCCGTAGAATCCTTGTGGAATCCGTAGAATCTAGATCTAAGTGGGAGATGAAAGAAACTGATTTAACTGTCGGTGATCTGGTGTTAGTGAAAGATAAAGAACTTCCTCGTAACGAGTGGCAGATGGGAAAGGTAACGGAGTCGATCAAGAGCGAAGACGGGAGAATTAGGAAAGCGAGAATCCTAGTTTGTAAGGATGGAAAAAGGAAATCCGTATTTCGACCAATATCGGAATTAGTGTTACTTCTAGCAGCTCAAAACGGACAGGAAACTGAGTACAAGGATAGACTGTCATAGATATCCTTGGGCGAGGAGTGTGCCGTTTTTTCGATGTATATAATTATGTAAACATTACAGCCTGACTTAATTAATATTAACTTTAGCCATTACGGCCCAGGACGGACACGGTCGTCGCGTAGCAACGCCTTTGAACGTTGAAGAAAGGGTTTGGTTCGTTTTTTGTTAAAAAATAGGAGCTTCGATATACTTTATACTATACATATTAGCCTGCAATCGATCATCTGTCATCCGCATCTATCTAAAGACGTAAGTTTGTATATACTATAGTTAAATGTGGTTGTATTCGTGTATGTGTGTTCAAAGTGTTCAATATTTGTATTTTAGTTTTCACCGTACTTTATGCGATAATAAAATAAATCATAAGAAGAGAGCGTATGGTATGGTTGACACAAGCGAACTCCACTTTGTAGACAAAGTCTCTACAAGGTGGGAACGCGACAGGTAGACCTTCATACATGCCACTGGAATATTGCATGCTTGTAAATTTCAATGATGATGAAAACTTACAGTAATTTCAGTGATTAATTAATACTTGTCACTTGGATTCCAATCCAAACTCCCTATAAAATAATGAAAAATTTTAGACAATTTTAATATTATGTATGGTCAGATATATATAAATAATACAAGACAGTTTTAGTAAAGAAGTGTGGTAATATTTTATTATATTAACTTTGGTGGGCATTGCGGTGTATTTAAATATTTGCGGGCTAAAATGATAAATTTGCCAGGCTAAAATATATTTTAGCCCACCTCAATCTTAGCCAATCAGAAGAATGACTGTAGTGTTTATCCATTGTAGTGTTTTTATACAAAAATTGCCCTTTAAAAAAGTTAATATAATAGTAATTCAGTTGATGTTCTTGGGCATAAATGTGTTTTTGGACTTCCTCAGAATACCGTTTAACCCTCGCTACGCTTGGGCTAAAATAAGTTCAGAGTCGGGCCAAAAACACATTTATGCCTGCGAAAATCAACTCTATTGTTATATTGCATGCTATTATAATCTTCATGATGATGAATACTCACATCAATTTCATTGATTTATCATTTTCATTTGGATTTCAAGTAAAACTTCCTAAAAATAAAACAATTTCAGACAATATTGACATAATTATTATGCACATCTATATTTATATAGATTATAGAAGAGAGCTTTAGTAACTACCCAATAACCTATATGCAATTACATTTAATTTCTCAGCGTACTGTCCGTTCAGCAGTAAAAGGCCTGGAACAGGGATGGGACTTAACTCAGAGGTGGGTATATATTCCACATTTTGTGATGTAATAGGTTTTGTACATCATATAGCAAATGGTACATAAAATCAATTTAAAAAAGAATCAATAATTGCCTAGATACATGCAACACTTTAGTATTTAAATTTATAATGTAGTTTTAGAGCAAAAGCTAATGAAGACACCAACAAACTCCTGGTGAGAAATATCAAGGCATTGACTGGCATGGAAAAGATGTCAGATCAGATAATTGAAAGTAAGTTGCAGTAAAGGAAAAGCATAGATTACAACAACAATAGGCTGTGTTTCTCACCAATAAGTGATTATATTGTAAGCACCATATATTTTTTTGGAATTCAGACTCATCCTCTGTCAAAGAGGCCAGTGTTAAGAGACATATACATGGCATCCTCTAACGTATTAACTTACTAAGGGAACTTTTTAAAATCCATAAATAAGATCTGCTAGATGTAGAACAGTAATTGCATTAGTTTGCAGCTAGGGGTTAATTAGCACTAAAGTCTGCCAAGCCCTTAGATGGTTATATAGCATACAAACTACAGGGTTGAATAAGGGTTTTTTGTTCAAAATATTCAAAATATATATAATGGCAAATTTTACTTGTCATAGAAATGATTTTTAACAGAGCCTGAATCATTGTATAGTACCAGAAATAGAATAACAAAATTATGAGGTGTTACTATGCCAATTAATGGTTAGGTATATATAGCACTTTTTATCGCCATTTTCTGGTAGGCAGTTGAATAGATTGAATTCTGTCTAAGTAATTCTGCATGGTACCCTCTATTGCCTTGTTCAATAACCTGTATACTCATCTGGCATACTGCATTGCTATAAATTGTTTATATATGCATGCCTAAATAGAAACCGGTGTGCATATTGAGCATTATAGCTAGTAAAGATGGGGTATATTGTAGTTTATACAAGAAGTTTATTTGAAAAGTAACTTTCACTTTCAGCCCTGGATGACAAAATGCAAACAGGTATTGACAGGGTAAACAAGGTGTGTAGGTCTCAGCATCCATGCATGAAAAAATATATTTGAGGTGATTCGAATGTTTGTAGAGTTTTCTATCCCGTCAGGAAAGAGAGTTCAATTACGTTTGTTTCTGGTTTTAGCTGTAAAAATTTAATGAAGAATATCCTCGGAATGTATATTGCGACTTAGGCAAAACACAAAATCATGCGGTTTGAATACATTTTAATACATACTTACTTTAACATTAATATTCATACACAAAAGGAGTACGTTAAGACCATTAAATTCATAGGATAAAATATAGAATACAAGAGTCAATTTCCAAGCCATTAAATATTTTTTGAACACGAAAACATGGCAACGAAGATGACGAATCAGTCTGGCGCACGTGTTAAGCTTAACCGGGGGTGTAGTCACAAATTATTTTGATTGATACAACACGTGACTACTGACTATCATTATTAACTTTCACATCAAAACTTAGAGATAGCTAACGATTTTAAGGGCTTGTTCCCTTGAAAAATAAAAATTGAATCCGATCAAACCTAGCCTCCGTTTCAATTTGTTCTTGCTTCAAGCATAGACCCAAACTGCTACCGCCGGTACACGGGTTGTTCGGAAGTAGGAAATTTTGAAAACTTCCCAAAGCTTACGTTTGATTTTGACCCACGGCATAAAACAAGCTGCGGCAGAGTATCGTTAAGTGGAGATGCTGATATTCATACATTCATGTTAGCAGACCGTAAAAATAATCAATTTCAAAAGGAACTAAGGGCCTGTTCATATGAGGTGGGATAGCCCGGTTAGCCAGGAGAGCTCGGCTTGCTGAGATGAGTTTGAAGGTCGTTTCACATGCAATTCATACCGCCTATTATCCCACTTATTATCCCACCTTTGCTAGGCAAGCGTGTGTGATCGTGTTTTAATACCGGCTCACCGGGAAAAATCGAGAGTTTGCGTTCATATGCATGGAAGCGAACCCCTCGGGATATATTTTCCCTTCCCTCCCTCCAGGTCTATAAATGATAAATATATGATTAGGTGATTGATTATATATATGCCGGAATAGTTGAGTTTATATTCCTCTGACTCTGGTGCCATAAACGAAAAACGTACCTCACCAATCTTCTCTTAGGTGAGACAATTGCATGAATCCCACTTATCCCGAGAACGTTGCCCTTTTTCGGACGAACTTGCAAGATTGAATCAGTCTGATACCATTTTCTAGGAGCAATGAAGGCGCATTTCTTGACAATGCGGAGGAGACGCAAGGAGGTCGATTCAGGGCAGAGAAGCAATGTTTTGCAAAATGACGACGTCGCCATCGCAAGGCAGATGTAAGAAATCAATTTAAAAACGTACCTTGTTTGTTTCCAACTTTCGCAATGGCATATGCCGTTGTTCAAAATTATTAGACGGATTTCATGTTTTGCTCTCACGAGCCAAATACAAGGATTAAATCATCAAACATAAAGATTAAATGGACCTTTTGCATTATAGACAACTTTTTTATACACGCAAGATAACCCATTAAAATCACCACAGCTAAAAAGAGCGTACTACTGAAATTAGTAGAAATGCAAAGTTTGGCCGCGAAATGTCATGAGATGCCGAAAATATGGCTTTGCAAAGTTTGCAAATTTGTATACTTTAGTTTAATGCACGGAAATTACGAACCTGATTTACAAAACGTTTCCAACCTCTCGTTCGACACATATAACTTCAACTTCATCTCAAATTCTCGCAATTTTTGGGACAACCAATCATTGTTGTTGGGACATCAATCCCTCTCTTTGCCATTTTTGGGCCTCAAAAAGAATAATACGCATTTCTTATTCAACTTGAATACAACTATAAGAATAACAAGAAATCTATGGGAGACATAACTATCATAAAATAATCTAGTAAGTTCAGATCAACATAGCTAATGAATTACACAGCTAATGCATTGTTTTCTCGTATATGCATAGAAACTTCGACGCCGGCTGGATGCACTAAATAAAACTACCTCTTGGCCTGAGGCTGAAAAAGCAGAATTTAGAAAGGGGATGAAAATGTCATGTATGTCTCCCGAGCACAGCGAGGAAGAGGTAATTGAAAGAGATGGCGAGTCCGAATCCGACGATGACGCTTTGGGTACGAAGAAAATATTAAAAACCCGCCCATTGTCATGGCGTAGCGAGAGATTCCAAAGCGTGTTGGAAAGCTTGGACCGGAAATATACCAGGCGAATTTCGGAGAAGGCTCGCTCCATGTTCAAAGAAAGAATTATGGGCGAAAGAATGGTTTGTTTGCCAGCAAGTGACATCCCTGATTGGATGATTAAAAATTAGATGATTATGGCATCCATTGATGATGGAAGAAAGTTAAATTTAAAAACAGGTTAAAAAACTACACTTAATTACCGTTAAAATGTTTCCATTTTTGTGAACAACTAGCTAAGTCTATTGCATGATTAAACTATATGTATAAGAGTTCAGCGCTACCTATTTTTTTGGATGTATGGAAAAACCAAATTTAATTTCGTAAATTTTCTACACTTTACGTAAGAAAATGTGCAACTCATTTAGTCACATATGCTGACGACGTATGGTCCACTATTTCTATGCTGTAGAGCCATGCTGAGCAGTATGGAAAACAAATATAGCCATCCAATCTGTCAACTTTGCATAGCTATTTTCCGTACTAGCACTGTTGAGGATTTCTCAACCCGGCAAACTTGCACCTTAAGCCCTGGTCAAACGAGAATGATAGTTGATGAGAGTTGAGAAGCGAGAGTTCGCACGAGAGTTTTCCAAACTCTCGATGCGACGGTCAAACGAGAATGAGAGTTGATGAGAGTTGAAAAGCGAGAGTTCGCACGAGAGTTTTCCAAACATTTTGCACTATTGTTCTGTCACTAGTCAGAGTCTAGTCTGCTACGAAATGCAAACCGCTGGCGCTTTTGCAACTCTCATCAACTCTCATGACCGATCAAACGCGCCCAAACTGTCATCAATTCTCATCAACTCTCATCAAAATTTGAACCAGTTCAAAGTCGATGAGAGTTGATGAGAGTGCACGAGAGTGTATGAGAGTTCGCGGTCAAACGCAAGCGAGAGTTGCAACTCTTATCAACTCTCATCAACTATCATTCTCGTTTGACCAGGGCTTTAGTCTACATACAGTTATTAGCTAGAATATACATGGTTTGGATACTAGATGGAAGTACAATACAACTCATTATTTATGTTATTGCCCTGCAGGTTTATGCTGAAAATTGTTCTGTATCCGTCACATGCATGTCTATTGTATTTTTGCCCAATTAACCAATAGCGATAATAGCTTGGCTTAGATCCTCTTGAACAACATGTTAATTCAGACCTTACTATTGGTTTATTTGTTCAAAATACAATAGACACGTGGCGAATAAGGAACAATTTTTTGCACAAATGTTCCCCGACCCCGACGACATATATAGTTAATGAGTTCTATTGTAACTACTTATATAATTAATTATATGTAGTCTCTAAACCATGTATGTTCCATTAACTGTGGTCTACATGATGAAAAATTCCATGTTCATGTTTTATAAAAACTCGTAGACTGATTATGAAGTATATATGACTGGAGAGTATGGAAAATAACAATCAATTTTAAAAATTTTATAAGATTTTAGAAGATGCAATATGAGAACGATATGCGAAAAAAATAGGTTGCCGGCTTCGAATTCTGTTGTATAGACATTTTTTAACTAAATGTATATAAATTATATCGGTTTATAAATAGCATGTAGCTATATTATTGTACGCATTAGGATCTATTCAGGATATTCTTGAACATCTATAGGTTTATATTGAATCTATGACTTTACGTGTTTATATTATTGTCTTATATATGTACGATTTCAATATATTTTTTAAAAATAATAAGAAAATAATTTTTTATTTACCTTCGCTTACACTTTAAAAAATTCAATTGCGCGACACAAAAATAGAAAGCACACGCAAACAAATCAAATCGACCAGCATAATTTGAACAAGTTTCATTTTGCATTTTCCACGAAAATGGCAACACGCGTGATACAAATCGCAAATTTTATGTTCACAACAAAATCACACTGCAATCGCAATATGTGCAATGTTATAAATTTACAATAAATTTGCACTAAATTCGCACCGGGTGGCATCGCGGCAATCACTGTATCGCACTAGGTGCAAACACGAGGCAAATTTAAAAATTTGCAATGGTGCAAATGTGGTCATATACGATCGAATTTGAAATTGGCAATAAATTTGCCCATACATTTGCATACAGGCAAATCTATCTTTTCGTCCAGTGCATGGTACAACTATAGAATACCCCGCATGGGAGAGTACTATATGTAAAGTGGCTACGTGGCTACGTGGCTACGTGAATACATACATATTTTTGGTTACATTTAGGGTTGTACGGTATTTAAAGATTGAGGGTGCTTGTTTAGGATGCTTTTTGGTGAGTAACACTGTGTTTATTAATTTGTAAAATAATACACTGTGACTACTAAAAGTGGAGAAAAAGGGGGAAAATATTGTCCCGGAGGGGATTAGAACCCGAGTGCAAGAACGCGGAAGGTGCATGCTTTACTTCTTGAACCGACCTGCAAATCGGTAAAATTAACGGTAAACAATACATTTTATATTTAGTAAGGTGCCGGTCATTTAGTACATTTTGGGATGTGACCGGCTGCCCGTCAGGTCAAATAGTCACAGGGAAAATAATATTATTATCTTTCAAATAGGGTATAAATATTTTATTTCTTCGAGAAATGTCCAGAACAAGTCATCTTCTCTATGCTTGTATCTCCATATGAATTCTGCTAAACAGGAGGAATAATGATGTTTTCTCCTGCCATGAGTTGGTAGAGATACCTTAAGCTGGCGCCAGTGTCCTTCGATTTTGTTGGTATGCGCGCCTTCGTCGTTTACGAATTCTTGGGAGTGATTTACTGTTTCGTGTGTGTAGCCATATTTTTCGTGTGTGCACAATTATACTGAAAATGCAGTTTGCACCCTTCAAATAAGTTTTGGTTAGATTTTGGGTTTTTTTGTGGGTTTTTTTTGGCTTAGGGTTAGGGTTAGGGTTAGGGTTAGGGTTAGGGTTATGGTTATGGTTATGGTTAGGATTTGGTTATAAGATTAGGATAAGGGTGGCGTAGCCAATGTAGACACGTAGCCAATGTAGCCGCTTAGCCAATGTACTGAATGTAGCCGCGTAGTCAATGTTCTGAACATATCCGCGTAGCCAATGTATCCGCGTAGTCAATGTAGCCGCGTAGCCAATGTACTGAACGTATCCGCGTAGCCAATGTATCCGCGTAGTCAATGTAGCCGCGTAGCCAATATACTGAACGTATCCGCGTAGTCAATGTAGCCGCGTAGTCAATGTATCCGCGTAGTCAATGTATCCGCGTAGTCAATGTATCCGCGTAGTCAATGTATCCGCGTAGTCAATGTATCCGCGTAGTCAATGTATCCGCGTAGTCAATGTATCCGCGTAGTCAATGTATCCGCGTAGTCAATGTAGCCGCGTAGTCAATGTATCCGCGTAGTCAATGTATCCGCGTAGTCAATGTATCCGCGTAGTCAATGTATCCGCTAGTCAATGTAGCCGCGTAGTCAATGTATCCGCGTAGTCAATGTACCGCGTAGTCAATGTATCCGCGTAGTCAATGTATCCGCGTAGTCAATGTATCCGCGTAGTCAATGTAGCCGCGTAGTCAATGTAGCCGTGTAGTCAATGTAACAATAGGTGAGTAGGCTGACTTGCGGTGTAGCCGGATGATTTGATTTACTATGGTTTGAAATTGCGGGGCATTCTATAATTACTCCCATCTACTTCAAGACCTTCCACTTCAAGATCAAGTGAACCAACAGCTAATAGATATAGACCTTACTCAGTAAGACACCATTTTCCAGGTCAACGACCTTCGCGCTCGACTCGCAAGGAGGGAAAACAAAAAGCAAACGTTAGCGAAAACAAGCCATTTTTGCGAGATTTGGTTTTACTAAGTGGCCCTGACGACCAAGTCGTACCCCGGCAAGGAACACGTCTCGCTCTGAATGAAAGAGGTCACGTTATTTCAGGGTGCAGATTTACAAAAAGTCAGTCAATGATGGAAGTCGAAAGAGCGATAATTGAGGCTTTTGATGGTAAAATTCCACCCGGTGTGGATATTGAATTATTAGTTTCCGTTCATTCACGTCTGGTGGTTCCATCACTGGCACCTGGACAGCATGGTATAGATGGTGCCATGCTACAGCGGCTGTATAGAAATAAGCCTGTTTATATCCGCCCAAATCAACAACTCTTTGACTTGGCCTCATATGGAAATGTAGCACAGGTATTTTATATTGTTAATTTAAAATACATACATACATGCAGAAATCCCTCTGCGCAGTTAAACGAGTTAGGCAAGTTTTACAGTATGTTAACAAAATTTTGCTCAAGAAGCCATCATGTACTTTACATTACCTAAGTGCTTACTACTCACTAGACTAATTGCAATCTAATGACTTAAATTCCTGTGATAATGAGCATTTATCCTGTTTTCATTAGTTTGTAGTAAACTTTTGATGAGATTGTCCACATACTTTTATCATCCTTAGCAAACCAATATGTTGTCAAGTCCTCTGTCAACTTGTGCTCAAGAAGAAGAATTAGATGAGTGTTTTCTGGATTGCCAAACTGATGAAAGCAATGTTACCACCCATCCCCATTCATTTAATTTCAACTCCAACATACCTGCTTCCCACACCCAGTCCCAACATGCCAATTTTGACATCCAACCTACTACAATGAATGCAGGCACCCACCCCCCTTTAACAAATGTCAATTCCAATCACCCTCCAACTGATGCTGATACCCAGCCTTCCCTGACAAATGTTAATAGCCAGCCTACACTGCCTTGTCTTAACACTCAACCCCAGCAGGCCAATGTCAACACCCAACCTATACAGACCCAAGCGATCCAACCTAATCAAATAAATGTCAACTCTAACCACCCTCCTATTAATGTCAACACCCAACCAGCTCCACCCAATGTTGTTGATGAAGAAATTGGTGAACATGAAGATCAGACTCGTAGTCCACAGCAGGAAATTATTGATGTTGAAACAGGGCAGGTTTTTTCTGATATGGATGAAGGTAGGAAATGTACTAAAAATATTATGTTCTAATTAACCTGTAACAAATAAACTAATTTCTTCACTTTGTCTTTTTAGCTGATTTGCATTTAATAACAATGTACACTCCAATGCTTCCCAAAACAGTCACCGTCCACCGATCCACCATCCGTAAGGATTTAACCGAAATATTTACCGACCCAAGCATTTTGAACAGTTATCTTGATGTGGTTGTGATCGATGCACGTGGTGAACCAGAGAAAGGAAAAGGGAAGGGTGTTATATTGGATGTTTTGACACATTTTTGGGACAATTGTTTTATGTCTTTAGCTGTGGGAAGGAAGGAGAAAACACCATTCATAAGGCACGATATGCAGAAACGTGAATGGCAAGCTATTGCTCGTATTCTTGTCTATGGATACAAGAATTATGGTTATTTCCCACTTCAACTTTCTTTTCTGTTCATGGCATCATGCTTGTTTGGGGAGGAATGCATCACAACGGAATTTCTACTTGCCACATTCAAAGAATATATCCCAGCTGAAGACCAGGATGTTCTGGATCAGTGTCTTGGTGATAGCTTTGACAAAGATGCTGAAGATGTCAGTGACTTTTTGTCTTCTTTGAAGTGCTTTAGAGTAGCATCGCAGGAAAATATTAAAGAAATTATCAACGAATTGGCACATCAGGAGCTGATACAGAAACCAAGATACATTGTGAACTGTTGGGCTCCTATGTTACATATGTTACAAGAGCATAAAGCATTCCAAACCTTTGAGGATCTCAAAGAGTTGTATAAAAGCAAAACCCCTACTGCAAAGAAAATTATAAAGCTATTTCGAGCAGAGCCTTCCAATGATGCTGAACGAGAGAGTCTTGCCCACCTGAAGCGATTTGTGAAGTCCTGAAGGCCAAGCATTGGCAAAGTTCTTGCATTTTTGCACAGGAAGTGATATCATCACCTGCGATTCAATCACAGTTACATTCAGTACCCTCACTGGTGTGGAAAGACGGCCCATTGCTCGCACATGTGCCCCCTTAATTGAGCTACCCTCAACTTATGAATCGTATTTGGCTCTTGCTGAAGAGTTCCTAAACATTATGAGGGGGTATCAGTCATGGTCATTTGACATTGTGTAGAGTACAAACTGGTTTAAGCGATGTATAGTAGTCTAAGTTTTTGTTTGGTTTAGGTTCCACAGAGCAACTTCCATGTATTTAATGAAAAAAGCATGATTGAGATGGTAATTACAACAGAATGGGAATTATTCATGAATCACAACAGTTAAAGGTTTCATACTTGCATCCTCTCAAATTTCAGTTTTAATGAAATTTTTAATATGCAGTTTAAACAAGGTAACAAACATGGCTTTTGCTGATTGCACTTCAAGTTTTTTTATCATGTGTTTTCCATGTTTTTTCCAAAGTTTTCAATGGATATTTTATCATACTAAATATTCGAAGCACATTGAAAGGGTGATTTATGTCTGTGGCCTTTATAGTATGTTTAATAAAGAAATTTTTTATAATTCATAAGTATAAACACTGATACTGTTCCAGATGTACAATTATAATATAAACATTACAACTATCACTTTAACATTGTTAAGCAGAAAATTTGTACTGCAGGTTCTTTGTTGTTTTAATGAAATAAATTACATAATTTATGGGATTGATGTAATTTCAATGTTTGTTTTTACTGTTACTATAGTTAATTAAACAATTCAAATGTCTATTGTTTCCTCAGAAATAAAATCACCAACTATGTCCACTGTATTTAAAAAATGTTCTATACCATTATTCCCATCATCCTGGGAAGGATCTACCGTTTGTTGCAGGTAATGGAGTTGTGCTTCAGTAAGTTCAATATCTGAATTGGGAATAACAATGTTATTGTTTGTTTGAATTGCTTGTCCTGAGGTACTGTAGTCAATTCCATAGGATTCCCAGTTAATTACTGTCGAATCATCTGGGACTGTTATCATATTAGTATGCCATAATGCTAATGGTGACTGATGATTGGCAGTTCTCATTCCATGATGATTCCACTGCCTTCGGAATTCAGCTAAGGATACATTAATGCGAGGTAGAAAAACATACTGGAGAGCAAAAAGGTGTACTTCATTAAGGGAATCAAGTTGTTCACTTCTCTCTAGAAATTTGAACAAATCCTTGTATAGTGCTGTCATAACTCTGTTGACTTCTGCCCACAATCGCTCAATACGCTGATTGTGCACACTTCTACCAGCGATAAAACTGCCTCTATCGGTGCCTCTATTATAAACCATGTATCTTGCAACATCAACATTCTCGACGCCATGGTCACCTCGAACTCTAGATGGTAGGCCAAACTCTCCCACACCGTTTTCAAACAAGCGAAGAACAGTGTCTGCTCTATTGTTTGTGCAACATTTTAGGTAAATAACTGTTCTGCTAAAACCATCAATGCAACCATGAATTACAAATCTCCATGATATCAATTTATGGTTAGAGTCAATATGCCACAAATGGTTTGCCCCACGAACATTGTAGACACGTCGACAAATTGCATACCTTTTTCGTATACTCCTACCAATTGGATCGACTCTTTGGCTACTAGCTCTAACTCTATGTCTTTGGACATTTACCTGTCTTCCTTTTAAACTACCTCTGACGTAACACTCACCACTATATGGTGTCAATTGGAGAATTTCTCTTATTTGATTATCCAGATCATAATTTGAAATTTCTGAGAAACTTGGTTCAATTCCGAATTCCATCCTTCGTCTTTGAAGGGTTCGCTCAGACACACCCAAAAGTTCTGCAATGTTACACCACTAACCACTTCATCCCTGTTTCTCTCAACTGTTCGATTTGTACCTTGGTGATGTTATATGCAGGTCTTCCTCCCGTACTAGGCAAAAGCGAAATAACATTTCTTACTTCCTCGATGGGATAATTGTCGACAATCTCAGCTAACTTTTCCAGTTCTCTTTCCATTGTAGCAATCAAATTACCAAGCAAAATTCTTAACGACGAATTTGGCGCTGTATTTTCATCTACAGCTGTCTTCATAGCAACTACGATAAGAATATAGTCTTCCATTTTGTTCTTGCAATGTTCTGATCCTATTGGATCCCGATTACATTGAGATCTCTGACATTGAAGAAACAAACTATCAAGAGCACTCACAAAATTTTGCAGCTCATCCACGTTGGCAGCCATGACGCTTCTAATGATCACACTAAATTCCATACACGACAATTACACGACAACGGGACCAGTGAACGGACGGCAAACAGCTGGGAAATTTGTTGTCGCTGTGCAAAAAATCGCTGGCACATAGCCGCATGTTTATTCGAATTCGAATTTTGAACGAAATTTACAAAGCGAAAGTTTTATGGAGATCTGAACTTCTTTCGGCAACGATCGAAAAGTTTAAAGTATGGAAGCTCCTTATTAGCTCACGAACATTGCTTCTGCTGTTAAAAATGGACCTTTTAACAGTGGATTTTGGTTAAATGTTGCCGACAAAGATTCCATGGCTTCGATGAGCGGTTGTATTTTTTAAACGGCTGTGTTTATTTGTGAATGGCTTGGAAACTCTCATGCTAAAGCGGTCTAAATTTACATATTATATAAATTGTAATTATATAAATTGTATTATATAATTTTCAAATGGCTTGGACTGAATATGGGCGAGTGATAAGTACATTCAAATGCGGCAAAGTAGACCGATAGCTTGAACACAATATTGGCGCGCGTGAGTTTGAGCAAAGTCTCTCGCCCCAACGTTGATTTCTAAAACGAGAAAAAAGTACGTAATATGTTTCTTACAACCTTTAGTTTCACTTCTCGTTGATATTTCCCCGGATAATTCCGCATTTTTACGGGAACATATGCCTAAGCAGCTGTGAAGTTTGTAAACCTGAGTCACGGGTATTTATTGAGCAAGCCGGATAGCTCGAAATCTCAAGGAAATCTCCAAACTTTTTGCACTAAATTTGGCATCCACATTGTTTGTTGTTTGAGATGAACAGCATTTTGTTGATGTGAAAATTGCCCTTCCAAATGAAATCGTGGATTGTACTAGATATATTGAGTATTTGTGTGCTTTTACCGGTTGAGGTGTTTAGCTAAAAAATCATGAAACTATTTGAAGAACTGCGAACATCTTTAGCTATATTCCTTGACACCAATTCAATAATTGTTGTACAGAAAAGTCAGCCCCGTTAGCCCCGTTACGTCCCGTCGAGCAAGAAATATTCTAAAAGTATGTCCTTGTATTTTTCCGTCCCATTCTGTATTTACGCGTGGTCCCTACTCGACCAGATTAAAAGAAAATTAGCCGAAATCTCCAAAATTCTAATTGTACTTCTGAATTCCCTGGAGGTGTAGAAAGAAATATTTCATAACCGTTTTTAATTATAAATTGCCCCTAGAAGTTTAATTTCACATATAATCTCTGTGTCTGTACGTCGTCGTCAAGGGAAGACCAAAGCAACTCTCCAAAAATGTGCTTTGAGGAAGGTTACTTCTTGTAGCATTTAATTTTTTTGGCAGCATTTGCAACACACGGCACAAAATTTATCCCTTTTTATTCCTTCTTATTTTAGACAGCATTAAAAACAAGGAAAATACCGAAAGAGAATTTAGCTACCATGTTTTTGTTTATATATTTAAAGGTCCCGCCGTGTAGTGCGCGAAATATATTCGTGGGGTACACGCAAGCCGAACTAACGCATGCGCAACAAATTTCCCAGCTGTTCGGACGGCATATTTAGACCGGTTCCGACCACGTACCGCTGACCAAAGGCACAGGCGAAAATCTCGAGTATCGTTTGCATTTCCTCAACTATCGCACACAGCAGCAAAACTCTCGACAATCGTATACGTTTCTCGACTTACAATAACAATTCTCGACAGTCGTTTACACTTTTCTCGACTATAGTATACATTTCTCATATATTGCATGCAGTTCTCGTTTATCGCGTACACATCTCGACCTGCTTTTGTCCAGTTTGGCTTGCCATATTCTAGTTGACTTAAAAACCAAATCATGCAAAGATCCATATAACCTTTTCGAAAAATTAGTAGCAGGGGGCCATAACCCTTGCATGGTTATATGGCGCACAGGTAAGTCTGCTAAAATCCGGTGCCGGGAATAAGCCTTTTGGGTATAGTTGGGAATTTTTCTGAGCGCTTTGTTAGTCTCAAAACCGGCCCATAAAAACTATTTTTGGCGTCAAGCTAACATAGGGATGTTTGTCAGGAGTTAGCGTTCGTTAGGAGTTCCAAACTTGCAGTCATTGTGACCGTTCATGTACTTGTATGGTACGCCAGCATAATACGCCTGTATTACGTTGTTGAGATTACGCATCAGAAAAATCGTAAATAGGGATTATAGATTTATTATATAAAAATAATAACAAAAAGAAACTCGTCGGTCTGCTTTGCATTGTCTATCCCAGAGATAGTGAAACGATGCTACAATCATGGAAATTAATTCGTAGACTTCTCTACTACATAATAAAATACCCCCCTTCCCCTTGAACAATGTTGGAAGGTGCGTGATATCACATTGGGATGTCTTTTCGATCAACATTGTGCGTTAGGGGGAAGGGGGGAGCAGCTATTGACCGTTAAATCAACATCTTTAACAATTACTGTGGTCATGTAGCGTGTCCAACGAAAAGTCTACCTATATTATTTCCATGATTGTAGTACAAAGGAGAGAAGATTCGTGAAAGGGCATTTGTATAGCGGGTCCATGGTTTTAACGACTTCTGAGCTCTGACCTCTGAATCAGAAATTTTGACGAGTGCTTCGACTTTTGCCAGTCTAAAACTGAGTAAGAAAGCGTTGTTAAGTCCAATACATTTACACAGTCCTCATAAAATTTGACAGGTCTATTTTGCCGACGGACATTTCGTCTAACGGACTCTTTACAGAAAAGACATTTTGCGAACAGACGATTTGCCGAATATTGCGATACTTTTCATTGTGAACACCCACGTTGTTTGTCAAATGCTTGGGTCATTAACGGTCATTAGCGGTGCATAACCATAACGAAAATTTGTTTGTGTAGCGGATGACTCATCTCTTTGGAATGTGTTTTTAAGAGTTGCATAAGAGTTGACAAGCGAGAGTTTACATGGGAGTTTCATCAATTATCATTACTTGATTAAACGCCAAGAACAAGAATCGTACGACAGTAAACAAATAGGCCGAAGGATATTTTGGGGGACGGTTTCATTAATTTGTTCAGTATTTTTTCCCTACTTCACTGTTTTTGACACTGCTCAAAATTGTTTGTTATCGTAGCTAGGGTACGTACGCCTTCGAGGTTTCTCCACGCGCCACTATTTGCTAAACTCGCAAGCATGCAAGTTTCTTTGCAAGAAGGCTCGTTTTGTCGGAAGAATTTATCCATTGTAGAAGTCTTCATGCTTGAAGTCGCTACTGAACTGAAACCTTGAACACAAGATGGACGACAACGACATTCAAGCTCGATATTTCAGGGCCATTCAGACTTATTATTAGTCATTTCAGTATTTTTCCCCATGAAAACACCAGTAATTCACCTACTTAGCTGCTTAATACGTTTTCGACCTCCGTTTATCACAAAAAAACTTACACCGGCCTTTTGACCAATTTTTTTAGTTTTACGTCATTTCGATTCAAATCGTGTCTCATTAAAACACTCATAGATCGCATTTATGAAATCAATAACACCGAAGTTGGCCTCAATAACGATGTAAAAGAGCTGGTGTTCACTTCTTATAAAAGCAAAAACATTTTCAACTTTAAGGGCGCAATCCCCAGTGATCTAAAATCCCTTGTGGTATACAAATTTACTTGTGCAGGATGTAATTCCTGTTATATTGGAAACACACTCCACTGACAAAAACTCACACGTCTATAAACACCTACAAAACCCAACTGCAATTCTAACACCCGGTCCTGCTTTTTCTACACTGCTAAAACTTCCTCTCTCAAACTCAAAGAGGCTCTTTATATTCGTAAACACAAACCAGACCTAAACAAACTGGTTCAGCATTTTAATACTATTTTCCACTCATCTCGTCTCACTTAGCATGCGTATTGTATCCTGTTATGTTGTCAATCATGATCATTTTTGTAAATAATCTAGTTATTCATTGAGTATCACCTCGCATGCATATATCATATATCATAAAACTGCTACTAAAATAACCACTTTGTTTTGTAATGCAAATTTGTGCTTGGATCCACCCCTGATTAATATTCTACTTTAACTTTATATCATTCACAATGTGAATATTTAATCTATTTATCCGCACCAAGATGGTACGACCTAAGGCTAAACGTTTTGTATCGTTCAAAAATTTGCTCGAAATAATGCTAGTGGCTAAGGAACAGAAAATTGGGGAGGGATGGAGAAGGCCAGAAGGGTACTGGGGTACCATCTTAACAAAATGTGGAATAAGAAATACAGCTTCAAGAAGGAAGCATCTTTATCGCAGTTGGCGAAGGAACACAGATGGTTTCAAGGACAAGTTCCTTGAAAGGAAAGAGGTACCATGTCTTATTTTTTTAATAATTATAAGTTCATGTAAAAATACCATGACCAGCCGACAGTTTAAAAAAGTAAAGTAAGAAACAAATTCCGAATAAGCAAGACATCTTGAGCAACAAATTATGAAACAAACAAGACACAAGGTTGAGATTGTAAATTTTCGACTTTATTCCAAAGTATTCCAAATTTTACCGTTTTGGAAAGAAATCTTTGTATTTTAGTTAGACAAGATTTTAGTAGAAAATCACCACAGTTTCCGAGATAAGGTATACGGATCCAGATTTTAGGCAATAAATTACGAAGTGGCTATTCGTACTGGAACAGTACGCCGAGTGTGATTTGCTATTCGTACTGCATTCGAAATGTTTCTTTCAATTGTCGCAATAATAAAGGTTTTTATCGACTCTTGTAATCGTACCTTTATAAAGGGACAGTAAGCGATTGCAACAAACGTTATTTTCGTATCGGAGATCGATGTTTGAATCCTCGGCATACCGTACGGCGCACGGCCGAATGAGACTTGTAAAATTTTTCATATTTTTGTTTTTATTCGTGTGGGCACACGCGGGCGCGCGAGCGGGTAGTGTTAAGGCCGACAGGCCACACAAACCGAGAGTTTTTCATTTACCAGAAGTATTACTATCACTATCTCAAACTATGCGGTTGGTGCTGGTTTCGGTTTGAATCCGTTTGACTATATGGGGGATATTCCGTTTATATAATTCGGTTTTGTTCTGTCACATTATGATGCAAAGCAAAGTTTCCGAACATGATGCAGTGTTACAGCGGTCTTTATGACCGGTTTGCAGGGCTTTCCCCCACGAAATTGAGACTTGTGATTGGTCAAATCTCACGTTGCCATAGAAGCAAACCTTTTTTGACCGGTCTGCGGGCAAATTTTAGGGGTTTTGCCACAGTAGCGGGCAGGCCGGCTATGCGAGGCCTTCGATGATTGGTTACTCTCAAATACTTGTAAGGATTTTATTGGTTTATTTCTCTGCCCGGTCATGACGCACATGGCTGCATGGTTTTATTATCTTATTACAGCGGAGCTATAGTTAGTATAGTATTTCTATCTTTCCGAAAGTGTTTGTTGACCCTACGGTCTCTACCTGTGTGCAATATTACTTAAAATACATGTCCAAAATGGAAAAGAACGTTTTCTCACAAGCAAAAACTGCCCTTCAAGAGAATAATTTGACAGTTTTGTCGAATTTATTCGAGTCGTATAAGCATAGCTATAAGGAACAAATCAATTCTAAGCCTGTGTGAGCGAATTAAGCGAATTATTGAGTGCTCGTGAGTCGTCTTCGCCGAAATTTCGAAGCGGGATTCTACGTTTACGTCTATTTAATAACGCTGGATTTAAAAGTGGTTAAAGCACGAGTATATGTTTATTTGAAACGAACAATTTACATATGTTCTGTGTGAGTGCGGGTTCTTAAGGCCAAAGGTCATTCGGGCACTTGCATAAAGTGTAAACAATAATGAGTACGTTATAACTAATAAATCTATCCGAAAATTTTTTGATGGGGTTGTGCGTTAGGCTGAATCCGCCCCTGCGTTTGTTGCAATCGCTTACTGTCCCTTTATAAAGGTACGATTACAAGAGTCGATAAAACCTTTATTATTGCGACAATTGAAAGAAACATTTCGAATGCAGTACGAATAGCAAATCACACTCGGCGTACTGTTCCAGTACGAATAGCCACTTCGAATAATTATCATCCGCTTCAAATTTGTTACTATTTAAGACAGGGGCGGTCTAGGATTTTTCGCACGTTAGGGTCTGTTTACATGAGCCCGGTTACCCTAGTTTCAATGAAGCGAGACATCACTTTGAGGTATTGAAAAAAGTCTTTATGAAAGAAACAGGCAAATGTCATTGTTGGGATAACTACACTTCTGTCAGAATCGAGTTATATGCTCATTTCAATACCTCAAAGTCATCTCACGCTTCGTTGAATCTCGGCTAAGCGAGCTCATGTAAACAGCCCCTTAGTTAAAATTATCGGCAAGCTTGCTGAAAATTGAAATGCAATTACTGTAACGTTCAGTTCGAACATTTTGATACTGCGGTTTATTGAAAGTTCAATTAATTACTCCGGCGTCAGCGACGGAGTTGAAAATTCGCCCCGGTTTTTGTTTTTTTTTTTTTTTTTTTGTTTTTTTTATTTTTCGTCGTCGCAAGTGTGTAATGGCGCGAAATATACTAGTACTTCAAACGTGTATGTGACCGTATTTATCTACGTCCCAGTCTTATCTCTCAAGAGTTGTGGTGCACAGCTTTGGCTAATTTTCCAATGCGCGATTCGATTTCGCTCGCATGATACGGCAATTCCTTCAAGAGGAACAAATAAACCGTTTTTTTCATGCTGTTCGATTAAGTTTAGATTGAATTGGGGTAAGAATATATTTAATACATGTAGACTCGGTCCTATTTTAATAATATCGCTGCTATTTCGCCGTTTAACAAAATGATGTGGTCGTGTATGGGCGCGTTGACACGTCGCGTAGTTTGCACAGGATCGAAGATTTAATATAACTATATAAGCGCGAATTCCAAAGCCAAAGTGTAAGACGAAGCGAATGTATCATGCGGTTTATTTACATTTTTGAACAATTGAACTTTTATACTGCGATGTGCTTCTGAATTTCGCGATCGAACATTTAGTTTCGCAAGGCATCTAAATGCGAATATGTATGTAAACAATACGCGAACTGTATTGTTTATGTTCAGAAGCTCTATATTGAAAACTGGCACGTGCGCCGGAGTTAACGCCAGAACGGCGTCTTGTTATCATGAAATCGCTGCGCGATGTACGCACATCACCCACTGACCCACTGGCGAGAATTCATGAGTCTTCGTGAGACAGTTCACAGTTGCGAACATGAATGGGAACTAAACAATACAATATTCTATGATTAACGAAGCTTCGCATTATATTTCAATCGATATTGCGACGATGGCCTAAATGCTATATTTAATATATAGAGAATAATACATGGATGCGCGGAAATATGGAATTTATTTCGAGTTGAGAATGATATCGAACGAGTGAGCGGCGCAGTGAACGAGTGAGCAAGCATATAATTTAGTGAGCAAGCATATAATTTAGGCATATGGTAAAACGCGGACTGGACTGGACTAGTAAAACGCGGACTGGACTAAATTAGTAAAACACGGACTGGACTAATTAGTAAAACACGGACTGGACTAAATTAGTAAAACACGGACTGGACTAAATTAGTAAAACACGGACTGGACTAAATTAGTAAACACGGACTGGACTAAATTAGTAAAACGCGGACTGGACTAAATTAGTAAAACGCGGACTGGACTAAATTAGTAAAACGCGGACTGGACTAAATTAGTAAAACACGGACTGGACTAAATTAGTAAAACACGGACTGGACTAAATTAGTAAAACGCGGACTGGACTAAATTAGTAAAACGCGGACTGGACTAAATTAGTAAAACGCGGACTGGACTAAATTAGTAAAACATGGACTGGACTAAATTAGTAAAACGCGGACTGGAATCGATAAAATTTGTTTGCCCCTATAGTTTGCCCCAAAATTTCTCAATGCATGCCAGAAAACTGTTTTACCGAGAGCACTCCGTATGGTTGCGATCGACGTCGACGAAGGACGACGCCACTCGCGCCAATCGCGCCAAAATCGAAAATCTTGGTGCTTGCGTCCATTGTTTAAACATGGAAGCAAGCTTCAAAATTCCGACATTGATAAAAAAGCCCAAACTAGGGTCCAAGGATAGTGCAAAGTTTTCATGCCCTGTAATACCTAAGCAACCAGACGTTTTCCCAACATAAACATTTTGACTTATGCCAGTAAAAATATAATGAACTAGGTTAAACATTAATCAAAAGGAAATTACTCAAAGTACTCAAGTTACGTTGCGGATACTGTCAATATCAAATTATAATTTTAGTTGCCCATGTAAACCGGGCGCGATTTTCCCAATTTAGTCTCTTTTCTTCGTCAAACATCTGTGACTACATTCACTACATTTATATGATGGCAACAATTTATCCGTCATTTCATAAGAATAGCCAAAATAGTTGCGTTGTAAATAATGTAAGTAAACCGCGGTGCATATTATGTCAATGATGTGGATACTTCGACGCGTAAATCGATACAAAACATATACTTATTCAATACTGTATACCGCCAAAATGATTTGATTACAGCACAAAATGTCCGTTTTGTATAGAATCATTTATGTACTCTATGCAGAATACCAGGTATCGACTTGCTATCGACATAATATATATTCGTGTAAGAGATCTATCAATACATAAACAACAGACCGTCGTTTCTTCCTAACCTCTTAGCTCTATTTATGGAAGAAATCTTCCAAATTATATTTGTGTTGAATTGAATGCTCGTAATTCATAACATAAGTTCATAAATTGCGTAGATTCTCAAAGAATTGCACGATTTTTACGCCCGGAATGTTTTGAAGCAATGCTCGTCGCTCCTCGTTTCTTTACATCGTGAATAATGTTCAAGGCTCCACGCTTCCTTTCCAAAACTTTGGGATACGACTTTTTAAATCTCTTGTAGGGTTAATAATTATAAAATTAAGGAAATTTTATCGACTCCAGTCCGTATTTTACTAATTTAGTCCAGTCCGCGTTTTACTAATTCAGTCCAGTCTGCGTTTTACTAATTTAGTCCAGTCCGCGTTTTACTAATTTAGTCCAGTCCGTGTTTTACTAATTTAGTCCAGTCCGCGTTTTACTAATTTAGTCCAGTCCGTGTTTTACTAATTTAGTCCAGTCCGCGTTTTACTAATTTAGTCCAGTCCGTGTTTTACTAGTCCAGTCCAGTCCGCGTTTTACCATATGCCTATAATTTAGTGAACAAGCATATAATTTAGTTTAGTTTAGGTTTCCTCCTGTAGTAACACTGGATCAATAAGAGATGATCCTTACTGGACCTCTAGGAAGAACAGTTTAGAACTGATAGAGCTATCCAGTATAAATAAAGATAGTTTAGTTTAGGTTTCCTCCTGTAGTAGCACTGGATCAATAAGAGATGATCCTTACTGGACCTCTAGGAAGAACAGTTTAGACTGACTGATAGAGCTATCCAGTATAAATAAAGATAGTTTAGTTTAGGTTTCCTCCTGTAGTAACACTGGATCAATAAGAGATGATCCTTACTGGACCTCTAGGAAGAACAGTTTAGAACTGATAGAGCTATCCAGTATAAATAAAGATAGTTTAGTTTAGGTTTCCTCCTGTAGTAACACAGGATCAATAAGAGATGATCCTTACTGAACCTCAAGGAAGAACAGTTTAGAACTGATAGAGCTATCCAGTATGAATAAAGTTAGTTTAGTTTAGGTTTCCTCCTGTAGTAACACTGGATCAATAAGAGATGATCCTTGTTGAACCTCTAGGAAAAACAGTTATACAGTAGTTTAAGGCTAATAAAATGCCTTTCTTGTCTTGTGGCAATCTTCCCCTATTGAAATAATCAAATAGTGACAAATACAATAGTGACATAATTTTCCAACTTCCAAATCTAGAATCAATCCTATGACTCTCCTCCGAACCAGCCACAGAGCTCAATGTTGATGACCCAAAGATTGAAACTACCCTCTGTCAGTGATGACGAACTCTCACAGTTCACCGAATCTGATGGTGGAAGTGTTGCTGGTATCGAAGGAATTCAACCGATAGACGATACACCATCGGAGGTTTCTGAAGACAGCGATGATGATGGTAACCTCGAGTATGTTCAAAATTGGTTTTAGTCCAAAATCTTGCCACTGGAAAGCCAGCAATGTGTTGAAAAACTTTCACAGCTTTTTGTACATGGCTAAATATGCCAACTAAATTGTAACTGGTTACAGAAAACAGGACTAATTAGCATTGAGCAATGAAGTTTCAGTAACTTGATAACAACTATTTATACTAGCTGTTTTTTAATACATTTTTAGACTCTTTTTTTCATCAAATAGGAACAAAGCTTGAGAATTATTGTAACCTGGATTATATATGGGAAAAAAGCAGATGTTTTGAATGAAATGGTAACTTGTTCAAAAGTGGTTCTCAAGATGTAATATTCTGATTTCATCCTTAGTTCCGATGCCCCTGATGACCATGAAGATGGTAACAATGACACCCTGGTCTGTGGTGAAGATGATGATGGTAGTATTGAAGAATATGATGATGGCAACAGGAGAATTTCTCATGTTGCTCCTGACATTGATTGTAATATTGATGATGATTGTGATGATGATCATGTTATTGATGATAATGGTGATGATCAAGGAATTATTGATGATCATGATTATCACAATGATACAAAAAAGGTAAGTCTCTTAAACTTGCATTCAAGTATATTTATTAATATGGATGCAGATCGAGAATAATCTAAAACAAACTAGCGAAAAAAGATTGTGTATCTTTCTACCTTTTGTCTTGAATGCGCAGGACCACAATATTTTTCAAATTACTATTAATGATATTTTGTTACAGAATGTTCATCTTGGCCTTGGTGGTCATTCTCAACCTTCATTTGATGATGTCCCAATCAAACCAGGGCTAGGTGAGTAGTTTAGGAATCAATTCCAAATTTAGCTGAAGTTTAAGTGGAAATCAATGATGCATTTTGTTGTTTTTATTCTGTCAGGTGGTCAAACAAGGATCTTTGAAGAACTGTTGAATCAGCAACTGCAGACTGAGGTGAGTGCAGGCTAGAATATGCAATGTAACTGAAGTTGGTTATGTTTAGGTTTTCCCCTGTTGTAACACTAGATCAATAAGAGATGATCCCTACTGGTCTTCTAGGAAGAACAGTTTAGAATTGATAGAGATATCCAGTATAAATAAAGTTAGTTTAGTTTAGGTTTCCTCCTGTAGTAACACAGGATCAATAAGAGATGATCCTTACTGAACCTCAAGGAAGAACAGTTTAGAACTGATAGAGCTATCCAGTATGGATAAAGTTAGTTTAGTTTAGGTTTCCTCCTGTAGTAACACTGGATCAATAAGAGATGATCCTTACTGGACCTCTAGGAAGAACAGTTTAGAACTGACAGAGCTATCCGGTGTAAATAAAGTTAGTTTAGTTTAGGTTTCCTCCTGTAGTAACACTGGATCAATAAGAGATGATCCTTACTGGACCTCTAGGAAAAACAGTTATACAGTAGTTTAAGACTAATAAAATGCCTTTCTTGTCTTGTTTTAGCAACGCAGTCCTAATGAAAACGAACCAGCTCAACCTACCAGAGCTAACAAAGCTGCGAAGAAAACCTTTATTCTTAGAAAGGGAGAAGGGATTGCGAGATTTGGAATGAAACCAAAGATAGTCACAAAACAAGGACAAGCGACAGTGAAAGATAAATGCCTCCAGAACAGTGTCTTGGAAGAAAGGGCGCCGGTCACGCGAAAAACCGCAACAGTGAAGGACTATGCAACGGTTAACCAGTCTCGTTCGCCTGCAGTAGGGGCACAAGCGAGTAAACCTGTCGTCGCCCAGAAACCTGAAGGTACGATTAACCGATGACCAGAAGTTCAATTGTCTTTTCCATGCCATCCAGTCATGATTAAGAGATCAGAATGTTTCATAGTTTGTGAAAACTCGCTGTTCTGCATGTCATCCAGTCATGATTTAGAGATCAGAATGTTTCGTTGTTTGTAAAAATCTTACTGGTCTCCATGCCATCCAGTCATGATTTAGAGTTCAGAATGTTTCATTGTCTTTGAAAATCTTACTGTTCTCAATGTCATCCAGGCTAGATGCATAGATCAGAATCTTCTCAATGTCATCCAGTGAAAAGTCTTTCCATACTTTTAAAGATGACCCCTGCATTTTGCCAATCGTGCACTTCCCCCTAGTTGACTTGAAATTTTTATTCCCCAGGCCCTGTCGCACGAAGAAGCCTTCGACAAGAAAAGCCGTTCTCTCCGAAGAAAGTGCATTTTACCACCATACCATCCCGGGGCTCAGGTGTTTATTTGGACGATGCATCAGAGGTGCATTCGGAGAGTAGCTCCGAAGACGAGGGATTGGAGGAAGATATGGCCAGGGAAGGCGAACAAGTCGTCGAGGATTCCTTTCAAAGACAGATGAAGAAATTAGATGACTTAGAAGTCGTGAGTGTTGCGTTGTTTTCGAATGTTCTTGCTCAAGAATTCCAACATTTATGGAAGTAATCTCTTTCATTTAGGTCGAGAAACAAGAACTGAATGAATTTGAGCTGCTTGAAGAAGCTGTGGCAGCCAATTGCTCGCTTTCGTCGAATTCATCCACCGTCCTAAGAATTCTGGGTGCTAAGCAGAAGCAATGCCAAGCTGATGTAAACAACAACATGCTCACTGCTCGTCAATTGTCGAACGTCAAACGCAAAGGTTAGCGAAAGATGACTGTATGAGTGTGTTTGTTGTACAATAGGTCCCTTTGAAAAGGAAGAGATAAAGCTTTTGTTGGGGGTGGCGCACCCCCTCGGTAACGGTAAAATGGTGGGGTGGGGCTGTGGACGGCAGGGTACAAATTCTACAATCAAAACTTATTCAAGCATTTAGCATTGACTCAACATTGATTAGGGGGCGAGGGGGGAATTCGACACAGAAATGTTTATGTTTTGCGTAAAAAACTACAAATCATTTAGAGTGTAGTCAATGGTTTTGGCCAGGATTGGAGGTTCAGATTTGATTTTTCCTACCTTGATTTTCCCCACCTGCGATCTCATCTCGTGCCTACAAATTTGCATGGTTTTTTAGACATCCTGGGACCGGTTGTATTAAGCCCGTTTAGCTTAAACGGTGGATGAAATAACACTCTTACATCACTCTTGAATGAGTCAACTTGAATATTTGCACTGAATATGTAGTTGTAAACAGTATCTTTGTATTAAGGTTAAAAACATTTAGTTTGCTTATTGAATAAAACGATAGACTTGCTTTCTATTTTGAACTTATCCACCGTTTAAGCTAAATGGGCTTGATACAACCGACCTCTGTAGTTTAAATATAACAGTCGTATTTATATTCTGTTTTATAATTACATTTTATAATACTTGTGGTATCGTACAGTGCTGTTAAATTCGTTTTGATCGGCTAATCGTTGATTTGACACAATTATTTCCTATGGTTAAGTCAATTTTAAAGTGGCTCACTTGGTTTTAGTTTATTTTTAAACAAAACCTCCTGTTACACAGGTCATCTTTTTTTTCGGAATTTGATCTGTTTCTTTTAACAGCCGTGAATGCAAGGTTTGACTCGTTCCCATCGCTCGAATGACGTTCGTCTATCGAGTCCTGTCGCGATACAAGAGAAGACCCTGGGGAAGAACCCAACAAGTGTTATATTTTGTCCGATTTTCGTCTTTTGATGGATGTGAAGGAGTGAATAAGACACGGATGTTCAAATAAAGGCGCTCATTCATCACAAGATTCATCACTATTCACTCGTTCACATCCATCAAAGGGCAAGGATTGCACCAAATATCACAGTAAAATTCCAAGTGTAAACACGGGCCCAGCGAGGTTTTTGAGACGTCATGCTAAAACATCCATCCATTTCTCTATTGCAGTCATCAGCATTCGTTCTTCGCTCGCGCTCTCCGAAGGCTTCGACGACACGAAAACGTGGGAGGAACACGACGTCCTGGATGCAAGTGACGTCACTCATGACGTCATGCATGCGCTGAACACGTCAACCCCGGACGAGAAGAGAAGAAGTGCGCAGGCGCACAACAAGGTGTCGGAGAATACATCTTCCACTCCCCCGACATCTGCACCCGCCACGAAATTGTTCCCTCAATTAAAAGCTCAGAGTAAGGTGAGGTCTCCTAAGGCTTTTGGTCTAATACGTTCAACTAGCTAGTTTTCAAAACCGTTAGCGCATCTGCAAAGGCAGTTTTCCTCTGTAAATAGACCCTTTCCTTTTTAGCATTCAAGCGCGCATTGCGTGACGGTAGTTGTTCACCAAGCAACTTTGATTTGAGTCGCGATATTCCTCTGCTTAGAAGCGATTTTGTTTGTAAGAAAGCCTTGCCGATTCTCTTTGCTTTTTTGTTAAACTAAATCGCTCCCGAAACATGGCGAGATCGCCACTCAGATTGACCTTCATAATCAACTACCGTCACGCATTGCGCGCTTGAAAGTTGAAAAAGGAAAAGGTCTATTTACGAAACCGCCTTCTTATGTATACTGAATATCTGTAGTTGTCAATAGTTCTACATAATTTTTTGTCCTTTTCAAGGTCGAAGTTATCTCGAGACATCCTCAGGCACAGGAACTGAAGTCCGCACCACCCGCCACCGATCAGGTAGTCGGGCTGGACGGGGTGGTTTCGGGTGGAGCGGGCAGTCCTTTGAACCCTGTATCGAGTTCTGGAATGAACGTAGCTTTTCCAGACAAATTTCAAGAGTTGGAAAAAATGATCGAGAAACTTCGAGAAGAGCATAATATGGCCCTTCATAGATTGAGGGAAGAGAGAGAACGGGTATGTGAGGACTGTAGCTTTTTCAGTTTGATCTGACCCAAAAGCGTGTTTGCATATTTCATCCTTATCCAATCAAAATACCTGAATTTTTAATACTTCATGGTACATAATGTACCTTCTCACCGAAAGTGGTCAAAATTTATACATTTTGATTGGGTACTGAGTTTGCTGATTGGTCCAAAATCATATTCCTCCTTTTTACCGAGCACAGTATCCTCCTAAGTTGTCATTCTAGTTTTTTTGTTCCGATAAACTGGATACGCAGCCATTGTGTTTTATATTGAATCAACTTATCGCCTCATTACTTCAGGGTCTTCAAGAATTGCAAAAGGAACGAACGTTGTTTGAAAGCCACAAAAGAGAGGAACTCGACAGACTTGAAAAGCTTAAGACAGAAGAGGAAAAAAGATCAAGGTATGCTGCACTGTAGCAATTGTGCTGTTTACATATTAAAGTCTGTTCACACGAACCAATTTTGTTGGATAAAATTCACTTCTGACGTATGGAATATAGTCGGTTATGATTAAGCAGTAGCGCACTGGCTTCAGTGGATTTGCTGCCCATATACATCGCAACAGACTATAAAACATCCATCAGAAGCGAAATGGATCCAGCAAAATTGGATCGTGTGAACAGACCTTTACTCGGATCACCGAGTTTAAATAAAAAGGTGTGTTTGCTTTATGGAACGTTAACATGGTTTATACCACAAAATTAGTGGGTCCACCCCCACCTTCCTCACGAATACCCCGCCGCTATGTTTGCATCATTCGAAGGGAACACACGTTGCAACAATACTTGACTTTCAACACAACTTGTCTTGTGTCTCAGACTTAACACCATGCGACGGGAGCAAAACAATTGCTACAAATGCTACTATCATTATCTTAATATTGACATATTTGTCATATAATTCAGTGCGTTGCAAGTTGCAACAATACAGTTGCAACAACTTAAACCAGCTGCGATAACAATCACAAACTCAGGCAAGTTCATCCAGGCCATGACAGAATACATTTGACCGCTTCCTGTTGCCTCGTGTTGTATGCCAGTTGTTGAAGATGTACCATTGTGACTGCTTGCAACGTCTGACGCCGTGTAAACTAAATCATAGTACAACAACTCGATGGTAAATACCGCAATACAAGCGCATATTGTGATTTTCCAATAACCTGATCGAAATAGTTGTGTGAAATCTGCCCTGTGTGTCTCGGTATCGTGTCCGAAGTCTTGTGTCGCTGAAATCCATTTCAGGCGCCAAATCTTGTAGAATGTTCAAAGCTTTCTGCTCGTCTCCGGCTGCAGGTGAAAATGTGGCGATAACTTGGCAGTCTATAGCCAGGCCTGGCTTTGGCCTAGACCATTTTAGTACGGAGCGTTTACGCTTACATTTCGACAGCCTGACTCTGGCCTAGAATTTCAGCGGTTTGCATATCACAAGTGTTTATTACTTTGGGTAAACTTTACTATACTCTCAACAAATTACAAATTAAAAAAAATGGCGGACCTTCGTATTTTCTTGTTATCAATATATGCTTATTTTTTCCAAAAAAAAACCAGGCTTAGGCCTGGCCTAGGCCACCTGGAATGATGGGCCTAGATTTCCAGGCCTAGGCTAGGCTTAGGCCAGGCCAAAGTGTGTTTACACTACGAAGATCTAGGCTAAAGCCAGTAAAGCCGGTAAAGCCGGTGTAAACACATTAAAAAGTTTTATTCAGCTTGTATTATAATAGAATTTCATTACTTAATATTTTTATTTTTTATTTTATTTCAGACCGCAGAAGACAAACCAACCTGCGATGTTCAAGGTGCCCCCAAAAAGGAATGTAACAAAATCTCGACCTGTGGCCGATGATATTATATGCAAGAAGGCAAGAGATTTTAATTTAATCTTTTAATTTTTTATCTTAAATTTCAATTTTAAAAGCCAATCAGGTCGCTGCTTCGCCATTTGAAGCTAAAACCAGTATCAGGCAAAAGACATCTCGCATCGTTACGCCGAAAAAATTCATGGCAACACAAAAAGTATCGCTAAATTTTTCGTATTTCTAGAGTTGTTTTCAACAAGAAAATGTACCGGGGAGCAATAGATCTTTCCCCTTTTAGCTTTCAAGCGCACAATGCGTGATGGTAGTTGATTATCAAGCAAATTTAAGTCGGGATATCTCTCTGTTTAGAAGCGATTTTGTTTGTTAGAAAACCTTGCTGATTCTTTTTGGTTCTTTTTTAAACAAAATCGCTCTTGAACATGGCGAAAACACAACTCAAATTGACCTGGATAATCAACTACCGTCACGCATTGCGCGCTTAAAAGCTAAAAGGGGAGAGATCTATTAAAGACCTCAAATTTCATTGTTATGATGTTTTTTGTGAGTTATGTTGCATATTTTGCATGTTTTTTGTCGATAGTTTTGATGGTGTACCTGATTAATTTATATTTAGTTGCCAACCTTATCATATTATTATACAAGTATAGCAATTTGTGTTTACGTCACAGACCACAATATTGCAAACTGGTTGGATACCTTTGGGCTACCTAGGGGCAGGGCCGGATTAACGTCGCGCGAGGCCCGTGGCAGAATTTTAGCGCGGAGCCCCCATCCTCCCTTATTAAAACCTTTAAATACAAAAGACACACAAATTTGTTAAATAATTAATTGTTTTTAGTTCTACTGTTATCCATTTTTTGGATGTAATTACGCCGCTTTGGAAATAGATTCTCAGGCGCTGTCTACACGATGCCGGAAGAATTTGAACGCAAAAAATTTCTCCGTTAAAATATTTATCCGCGTCCACACGTAAACGCAAAAACGATCCGAAAACGCTAAAGTTATTTGATCCCGAATTACACTTTCATGTTTTCCACCCGCGTGTCACAAGCTGGATGTCGAATTCAAAACAAAAATCTACTAAATGAAAGGCAAAATACAAGAATAAGAAATTTGTTTGGAGATTTCACACTAATATAGCAATATATAGTTAAGCATTAGCCACAAAACTTGCAAATAAGCCTTAATTATACGAAACGATTTGATACGTGACGTCGTCGTTTTCAAATTTATCCGGCAAAGCCGTCCACACGTATCCGCTCAGCCGTCGTTTTCAAATTCTTCCACTCTGGAAAGCATTTTCAGATTCTTCCGTTTTCAGTGGGCGAAAAATTTTTTTAAAACCATTTCATTCTCATGATGCGTGTTTTCTATAAAGTATCTCCCCGGAAAATCCGATTTTTCTTGAAATGCGTAAATGCGCATGTGCTATCGGCCTGTTCAATATGCAACAAGTAAGGGGCGACGAAGTGTCGTTTTAAAACATTTCAAATGCGAAAGTCGATTAAATCCTCGCTGAGAATCTTTTGAGTATAATTTTCCCCTATTAATAAGCTAATGCGTCTGTAGTAACTGAACTGAAAACAATTTGAGTCGAAATTTGCTCCATTCGTGTTCAGTGTTTGGTTGTAATTGAACTAGAACTATGTTTCGTTAACTGGTCTCGCTTTATATAATTGATTTCCTGGGACTCTAGATTATTGCGCAAACATTTTTTGGCATATCACGATTTAATATTATACCCTCCTTTGCAGTCATCAAAAAGGCTCTTAGAACCGAAGACTCCAAATTTGAGAACAAAGACAAGATCACGCCCTAACTGTGCCGGAAGATGTCATAAGTTCTGCCAAGAAATGAAACGGTGAGTGTAAAATTGAAGAAATGAAAAAGTGAGTGTAGTACGTACTATGTCCATGACAAAATTAAACTTAATCCAGCGATTTTTAACAGGGGCTTAATTAATTAACAAGGCAAATAATCAAACTTCGTGCAACATCAGACCATAGACAATCCAGACTGGGGAAACGCGAGATAAAAAACCTCGGACATCCGTGATGACAGATGATGTGCCTGTCACCACTCACCTGTCAAATTTTATGAGGACTGTGTAAATGTATTGGACTGTTGACGCCATTCGTTTTACATGAATTATGACGTCAGCTCCGTATATAGCATTCTGGGCTTTGCTTGACTCGCGTAATGATCTCGTAAAATTTTTAATGCTTTCCTGCCATTTTGAGCATCATCTCTCATGACTAGTCGTATCATCAAGTAGCTGTATTAATTCGGCATAACACTCGCTTTTTTCTCTTCATCTATCTCCTCAGAAGTCGACAAAATAACCTCGTTCAATTTTAGCGTTCGCAGATACCCGAGAAATTAAACGCGTCCTTTTAAACGCGTGGGAGTTTGGGAGAACGAGAAATAATCAGCGGGACAACGAGCCCGTAGGGCGAGTTTTTCCACGTTATTTCGAGTTCTCCCAAACTCCCACAAGTGTTTCTATAACTGCATAGAAACACAGGAAAAACGTTTTCTATTTCTTTTATAATATAACTCGATAAAGCCAGTAAAGCCGGTAAAGCCGGTGTAAACACATTAAAAAGTTTTATTCAGCTTGTATTATAATAGAATTTCATTACTTAATATTTTTATTTTTTATTTTATTTCAGACCGCAGAAGACAAACCAACCTGCGATGTTCAAGGTGCCCCCAAAAAGGAATGTAACAAAATCTCGACCTGTGGCCGATGATATTATATGCAAGAAGGCAAGAGATTTTAATTTAATCTTTTAATTTTTTATCTTAAATTTCAATTTTAAAAGCCAATCAGGTCGCTGCTTCGCCATTTGAAGCTAAAACCAGTATCAGGCAAAAGACATCTCGCATCGTTACGCCGAAAAAATTCATGGCAACACAAAAAGTATCGCTAAATTTTTCGTATTTCTAGAGTTGTTTCAACAAGAAAATGTACCGGGGAGCAATAGATCTTTCCCCTTTTAGCTTTCAAGCGCACAATGCGTGATGGTAGTTGATTATCAAGCAAATTTAAGTCGGGATATCTCTCTGGCGAAAACACAACTCAAATTGACCTGGATAATCAACTACCGTCACGCATTGCGCGCTTAAAAGCTAAAAGGGGAGAGGTCTATTAAAGACCTCAAATTTCATTGTTATGATGTTTTTTGTGAGTTATGTTGCATATTTTGCATGTTTTTTGTCGATAGTTTTGATGGTGTACCTGATTAATTTATATTTAGTTGCCAACCTTATCATATTATTATACAAGTATAGCAATTTGTGTTTACGTCACAGACCACAATATTGCAAACTGGTTGGATACCTTTGGGCTACCTAGGGGCAGGGCCGGATTAACGTCGCGCGAGGCCCGTGGCAGAATTTTAGCGCGAAGCCCCCATCCTCCCTTATTAAAACCTTTAAATACAAAAGACACACAAATTTGTTAAATAATTAATTGTTTTTAGTTCTACTGTTATCCATTTTTTGGATGTAATTACGCCGCTTTGGAAATAGATTCTCAGGCGCTGTCTACACGATGCCGGAAGAATTTGAACGCAAAAAAATTTCTCCGTTAAAATATTTATCCGCGTCCACACGTAAACGCAAAAACGATCCGAAAACGCTAAAGTTATTTGATCCCGAATTACACTTTCATGTTTTCCACCCGCGTGTCACAAGCTGGATGTCGAATTCAAAACAAAAATCTACTAAATGAAAGGCAAAATACAAGAATAAGAAATTTGTTTGGAGATTTCACACTAATATAGCAATATATAGTTAAGCATTAGCCACAAAACTTGCAAATAAGCCTTAATTATACGAAACGATTTGATACGTGACGTCGTCGTTTTCAAATTTATCCGGCAAAGCCGTCCACACGTATCCGCTCAGCCGTCGTTTTCAAATTCTTCCACTCTGGAAAGCATTTTCAGATTCTTCCGTTTTCAGTGGGCGAAAAATTTTTTTAAAACCATTTCATTCTCATGATGCGTGTTTTCTATAAAGTATCTCCCCGGAAAATCCGATTTTTCTTGAAATGCGTAAATGCGCATGTGCTATCGGCCTGTTCAATATGCAACAAGTAAGGGGCGACGAAGTGTCGTTTTAAAACATTTCAAATGCGAAAGTCGATTAAATCCTCGCTGAGAATCTTTTGAGTATAATTTTCCCCTATTAATAAGCTAATGCGTCTGTAGTAACTGAACTGAAAACAATTTGAGTCGAAATTTGCTCCATTCGTGTTCAGTGTTTGGTTGTAATTGAACTAGAACTATGTTTCGTTAACTGGTCTCGCTTTATATAATTGATTTCCTGGGACTCTAGATTATTGCGCAAACATTTTTTGGCATATCACGATTTAATATTATACCCTCCTTTGCAGTCATCAAAAAGGCTCTTAGAACCGAAGACTCCAAATTTGAGAACAAAGACAAGATCACGCCCTAACTGTGCCGGAAGATGTCATAAGTTCTGCCAAGAAATGAAACGGTGAGTGTAAAATTGAAGAAATGAAAAAGTGAGTGTAGTACGTACTATGTCCATGACAAAATTAAACTTAATCCAACGATTTTTAACAGGGGCTTAATTAATTAACAAGGCAAATAATCAAACTTCGTGCAACATCAGACCATAGACAATCCAGAAGACTGGGACTGGAAACGCGAGATAAAAAACCTCGGACATCCGTGATGACAGATGATGTGCCTGTCACCACTCACCTGTCAAATTTTATGAGGACTGTGTAAATGTATTGGACTGTTGACGCCATTCGTTTTACATGAATTATTTATTTTATTTATTCAACAGAATATTTTACATAAGCTATAAGTTGTTTGCGTTTTTTTTATATTCCCATCACTCTAGAACACGAGGTCGTCTATTACCCATAATGCAATTACAAATAAAAGCTTATAATATTTTGTGCTACATAAAGTATATGAATATATGTTCAATGAAAACATTTTGTCCAACACCTGAAAACTTTGCACACTTTACACTTTGCGTAATATGTACCTTTAATATCATGGCGACAATAAGTCCATCGCTCAGAGTTTCCTTAGCATTTTTCAAAGCGGTTATAGATTTTTCGGCTCTTATCAAATAGTTCGTTATGGATTCATCGGCGCTCTTCTCCAGTGACGTCAGCTCCGTATATAGCGATATGATTCTGGGCTTTGCTTGACTCGCGTAATGATCTCGTAAAATTTTTAATGCTTTCCTGCCATTTTGAGCATCATCTCTCATGACTAGTGACAAACTCGTATCATCAAGTAGCTGTATTAATTCGGCATAACACTCGCTATTTTTCTCTTCATCTATCTCCTCAGAAGTCGACAAAATAACCTCGTTCAATTTTAGCGTTCGCAGATACCCGAGAAATTAAACGCGTCCTTTTAAACGCGTGGGAGTTTGGAGAACGAGAAATAATCAGCGGGACAACGAGCCCGTAGGGCGAGTTTTTCCACGTTATTTCGAGTTCTCCCAAACTCCCACAAGTGTTTCTATAACTGCATAGAAACACAGGAAAAACGTTTTCTATTTCTTTTATAATATAACTCGATAAAAAGATTTTGTACAAATATTATAATTCGATTCAATTAGAAATTCTCATTACATCGCTTCGCTTGTCAAGTTCGGCGGGAAAATTCCCGTGTTTCTATACAGTTATAGAAACACGCTTCTCGACCAATCAGCACGCGCGTACTATAAATGTTATATTATAAATGTTAATAATCATATGATATATATGTTAATGTTAATCATCATATGATATATACACTTATCAACAAAATGATGAAAATGACCATGGCATTTTTACCCAATGACCTTGTTTCTACAAATTTTCCAGCTGATTTAGGCTGACTAACAAAGTAATTTTCAAACATACTAACATGAAACATAAGTAAATATTTAACAAAAAAGAAAAGTGAGTGATAGGTACAGTATGTATGGTCATTTGTGCTATTTTTCAGGTTATTTTCAGTTGATTATCATTACCGGCACCACTCCTGGATAAAACTTTTGGATTATAATACAATTGTTCTATTCTCAACAGGACAGAATGTGCCATCAACATCACATCCTTCTGCAAAACCAAGCATACCTATCATGAGTGATTACACCCAGTTAAATACTGAAACTCTGAGGAAGTTTGTGTCATCTGCAGTACAAGATTCAGTAACTTTTGGTACTGTTTTTCTTTGAAAAAATTGTTTATTATATTTATGGTAAACCTTTAGTGGTATACTATAATGTGCTACCACTGTATCTTACAGGAACTCGAATTAAATGGACTGAAATAGGTTACAAGCCCCAGTGGTGGCCAGAGGATGTTATTTGGAGAAATCCAAGTAACAAGTCTGCAGCAGGACCAAAAATGAAATCTGCAGAGCTGGCATTGGTTTTGTCTGCATACCGAGATTGGTATGAATCCAATGTGCAACCAGGTGCAGGACCATCACATACTGTATACCGCCTCAGGGTAATTCAGTCGAAAATTCTTTCTTTGCTGCAGCGGCTGATAGTAACTTGTTACCAGAGGAGGTAGAGTTAATGGAGAATATTTTGAAAGAAAATGAAGAAAACGTATGTAGCTAAATCAAATTATTGTATAGTCTTACAAGCATGATTTTGTAGAGGAATTTCATTGGTTTTCTATATTATGGTTGAGACTCCCACTAAGATGCCTAGTACTTGCAGTACACCCTCACCTGTGGTTAATCTGTAAGAAATGACGTTAATTTTTCCTTATTTTTTGAACTTCATTTGCATTGTTATTTTTTATGATAAATGTTTGAAATTTTGTACAGTAATGATAAATTTAAGTGCCTTTTATTATTCATTATATCTCTAGAGTACGATGAGCTTTTCTGATGAAGAATACTGCAGCAATGTCTTGTCTGTTTGTCAAAAGTTATCCTGGAGGGCTCTTGAGATATGTGCCCCCGTTATAATTGGAAAGATGTGCGGTGACGATGAAGCCGCTATACATGACCATATCCGCATAACTACATTGGCTTAAAAGGCTTGATAAAAGGTAATGCCAAGCACAGGGCAAAAGCAGTAGGGGCTAGCATTAACAATGTGGAGTGGAAGTTTAAAATCATCTCAAATGAGTTTTTTCCAGACTTTATAGTTTCATTCCACCATTTAATACAATGTTGTGTGAGGATGGAACGGAGTTAGAACCATTCCAAGCGAGTTCTTTTGGTAATTGCTTTTGGTGTACTCTTTCCATACATCTGGCAGGGAATGAAAGCAAACAGAATTTTCTTCGCTTGGCCTCTGCCCTAAACGGGGTGGTTATTGCACAAGACTTTATTGTTA